CCTTTGTTATCACTGTGCTTATCTTGCATTCATTATAAAATTCCTCCTCCTCTATGTCTTCCCATATATCGTTTTGCCTATAAATATCTTTTGTCACATTTTCTTCTTGAATAGATTGTGGGACGTTTAAAACTATAATTCTGGGCCTTCTTCCTTCCGAGCGCCTACATGTAACTTTGTTATTCAGACTTTCGATCTCATTAATGGCTTTTTCTAATGTAACACTTTGATCTTTATCCCCTACCCTTATGCAGATTCCATTATCTTTAATTTTTTTTACTGTTTTAATTTTAATTTTCAATTTATGTGGTTCGATTTTCCCTTTAATTTCTTCAGTTATTTTTTCCATGTTTATTTGTTGTTCTCCATCATTTTGTACTTTTGGATATATCAGCACTGCATGTGACCCGCCTGATCCTTCTATGTTGAGTTTTTGATGTAAAGATTTTTCTATGTTCTTAGTTGTTATGCTTGGTTTAATATTTTTCTTCACCATTTCACTATATGTGGGTTTTTGGGTTCCTTGTTGCACTTTATGTTGATTTCTGGTGTTCTTTTCTTTTTCTTTCCTTGCCTCTTTAACTATTGCATACATCTCGTGTAGAAATCCGTATAACTTTGCCACGTATTCTCTGATTTTAACTCTTTCCCTTTGTTTTACATTGGTGTTTGTATGTTCGGGGCACAAATCCATGATTACCCCCAGCATTCTATTAGCTTCTGTAATAAGATTATTTTCTATATTATCTGTGTTTTCACTGGTTGAGGCTTGAATAAAAGTCTGTCCCATCTCTTCTCTCTTTTCCAATGTTGTTAGTGTGACCCTTGATTCCATTTGTGATAGATCCATAGTTACCCAGTATACAATTCTTAAAACCAACACTAGAACTAGAAGACGTGTTTATTGTGATAGAAGGCTCAGTGCCAAGCAGTTCTGCACTTCTAATTTATGATTTAGCAATGCAGAATGAATGATAGTCTTAGAATTATTTTACAGCTACTCCTAAAATTAGTTACAAGAAATGTATGGTAAACAGATGTAAAGATGCTCAGCAAAACAAAAGAGTCAATAAAAACGTCCGTTATCTTCAGCTGTTCAAATGACCGTTGTAAAATCCGTTGCACGAGCTGAGGTCAATGACCGTTATCGATGAAAGTCTGAAGCTTGGTTCAGTGGAAAACTTCTTTAAATTTTTAAACTTGCGATATTTCAAAAAGTATTTAATGTTTTGCAATGAAATTTGGATGAACTCTCATGCGAGGGGTCCTCTTAACGATGGTGTCTTCAAAAATCACGATTTCCCAAAACCTGGCCCGATGCGGGCCGTCGAGCTCCCAGACAAGAAGTCGGATAAAACCCCCAAAAAAGGTCCTAGAGTCCCCAAAATTTGGTAAAGTACTCGCGGTTATTATGTCCACCTACATCTGTCTTCAAATCCGGAAAAACGGACTTCGTTTTCCGGAAAAACGGTGCCGAAAGTTTCGATTTTAACTTGTTGTATCTCCAAAATTAGTGGGCCAATTTTCACCAAACTGACGACATTCGATGCAGGTTGTTATCCTCTTTCAGATGATATATCACACTTTACACTAGGACCAAAACTTCCCGAAAAAACTTAAGTTGAATCAGAGCACCAAACACACACAACTTCTCTCCCCCTCACTCATAGGCCGATTTTCACTCATAGGCCGATTGCCAACGACTGACTTCACTCATAGGCCGACTGCCAACGACTGATGCTTCCTGCAGGCGGGAAAAAATTCAGGGCTGTGCCATGACTGTCCCCTTCACAACTCCACCGAAAGAGGCCTCCCGCGCATCATTGGTTTACGCAGAAAAAATAAAAGTCCGATACTTTTTGAATAGATTTCGTACACAGTATGATGAAAACTTTATAGTATATACAGAGATTGAGATCTTTTTTGGAAATTCATTTCTAATCAATATCTCATATCTGTCTGCTCTTACAAATAATGAAAGTTTGTGACTGTGTGTATGTACAGGCTATATAATTTCTTGAGCGTAACCTGCATAGTCATATATACCTACAGAAGTGTACAGGCTATACCTATTATAGAATATATACCTATTGAGTGTACAGGCTATATAATTTCTTGAGCGTAACCTGCATAGTCATATATACCTATAGAAAATTGTTAAAATGAAAATAAAAAGTCATAGCTCATGCTGTCATGTACTCGCACCTCTGGAAATGATGTTGAAGACATTTGAAATTAGAATGTATCCTACCAAATGTTGTTTTTTCATCTTTCTTTCCATTATGTTTCTGTTTTAATTCATTGCAGATGTAGTTATAAAATAAGTGAAATAATAAGGAAATAGCAATAATTATGACTGTTCAGTAAAGGATAAGCTTATGAGCTGCTGTATATGCTAGACTGATAGCTTGTAATTGTCTTCCAAGTATGATGCTGAAATTTTTTAATCCATTTACTGTTGTCTTCTAACTTCAGTTATTAAATAGCTATTTTCTTGCACATTTTATTTCTAAATTTAAACAATTTAACACTTCTGTTATCAGTTATTATTTCCACACCTAACCATTGTTAATTAGCACTTTTAAATTAAATTTAAAATGTTTTGTATTATGTTTATATTTTAGGGATTTAGATATTCAATTTGTAATAAGTTTGTCAAACATTTGTATATTTTAATATATAAGCTGATGTTGACCTAAGGTAGACTGAAAATGTTCCTTGTATACTATATATTGTGGTTTGGCTTTCAGAAATTTTATCTTTTCATATTTGACATTAAGATGATGGGATTCACTAAATTTTAAGATACACTATTTAAATTAAAAAACCTTCATACATGAATACTGGAACACACATAAATTAACACTCAAAAAACTTAACAGTCCAGTACTAAATATTTAATAAAAAACAAATGTTTTTGACTGTACTTTTGGTCTTCTTCAAGTTTAAAAAAACCAATGAGATTCAAACAAGTGAATTTGAAGAACAAAAATTATGAAATTTAATAAAATACACTATTTAATAATTTAAATTGTGAACAAATGTTTTATTTACAGTGTAATTCTCCATTTTATATTAAAGTTAAAAAATGAAGCAAATAAAATAGTAATGGCATTATCATTGGTTTGTTTTGATTTCATTATGGTTGAAAGTAATGTCGTTTGTAAACAAAAGGAAACATTATGCAGTCAGCTGGGGATAGCATTTTAAACATATTAAAGTATATACTCATCTTAGTCATCAAAATTTATCTTATAGGAATAAAACAAAAAGGCCAGGTGTTCATAGTCTGTGGATAAGGCATGAATGTATTTATTTGTGTTGTTGTTGATCACAGTTTTTGTGAAAATGATAATTTTGTTCAAACTTATTTTATTTTTAATATGGTCATTTCCATATATCTTCTGATTTTGTACATTTGTTTGCCTTGTTTATCATCATCCTTTTCTTCCATAAATTTTGCTGAGCATAATAATTTTTATCATCATTTCATGTTTCATGTTAAATTTAATAACTATTTAGTTATTTCAACCAAGCAGTTATTAAATTTGATGTAATCCAATATCAATTAGTTTTATTCCTTCTGCATTTATGATATGTTAAATAACTGTTTCATGTTGATAATTTGAAAACATTACTTGTTTTTTTTTTCTCTGGATCTTCCACTTTCACACAGATGTGTCTCTCTTCCTGCTTTGATGCAGTCATTAAAACTTCAGAAACTTAAGTAACTTTTATTATGCAGTAATATAGAAATGTACATTGGAATTTCTGTAAAGACTTGACCCAATCACTTTCAAGTTTTATTCACTCATTGTATACTATGTAGATAATATTTATATGTCCTATTTACTATTTGAAAATGTTCAAAATAACTGAATTCAAAAATCTGTTTTTATATGGAATGCAATCACTTTTATTGTCATTTTTAATAAAATGTTTTATTTTAGTATCCTATCTGTCAAATATATTAGTGGAATTAACATCCTCTTTACTCTCTACTTGCCCAATGTTATCTATTTGAATCATAACAGTGTCTACTATTTTAAACTGCCTATTTTCTCTCTCTGGTTAATTATTTTGCACATACCTGTTTGACTGTTACTAATAAAGTATTTAAATATTTATGAAAATTATAGTTGAAATGGCAACTGGTAGCTTTCTTTTTAATGACTGTTGGCTTCTATATACCAATAATAAGAAAATAATTAAAAAGTATGCCTACTTCATTATGTGCATTTTACATATTTTATTTTCTGTTAATGTTAGTTTCTTAAATAAATACCTACTTACCTATCCTAAGTTTGAAGTAAAATAAGTACCTAGTTATCATCATTTATATTTATCAATTTTGTACTGTTCCTTAATAACAACCACCCTCAAATATATGCAACTATTGTATGTTCTTTCACCACTGCACACAAATAATGAAAAATAAGTATTTTACAAGAAAATAATTCTGTTTTTAAGTGCTAAGAAAATAGCAGATTTTAATGACTTTAGATTTAACAAAATTAAATCTTGATTCTGCTTCTTGGCGTTAATGTTTTAAATTCAATTATTGCTTTATTAATGCCAAATGAGTTGTCAGATTTCTTGGGATGGAACAAGGTTAATCCATCAGTTCTTTTGGTTTTGTAATTGAATTGAGTTGATGTATTTGTTACTGCTTTCTATTTTTCATGAAATTATACTTTAAAAATATTTTACATAAACAGATAACAAAAAGGAAACTACCTTTCTTCATTTTAGCAAACTTAAGAAAAGTGGTTTCCTTTTTATTAAAGAAGTATTTTGGCAGTACTCCACAATATTTGTTTTTAAAAAATTTGTAAAGACCTTGAAGTATAAATCATAAATCAATACATAGAAGAGTTTTAGAAAGCAATCATTTAAATATGTAGGAAATTTTAATAATTAATATATTATTGCAACTTAATGAAAATTTACAAGTATTGTATCAAAAATTTAATCATAGAAACTACATACNATTTTACCAGGTTTACAGCAAGTGAAGATAGCTCTGAAATGAGTCCTTTATCAGTTTCTTCTCAGTTAGAAGAAATGAATCAGAATTTGTCTTTCTTATATCAACAGAGGTAAGTAAATGTTTCTGATTTATCAGTCATTAAATTTTAAATTTTTCAATACTTTCTAATAGTGATTTTAGGTGATTTTTATGAAAAACTCAACAATGAAAGCATTCATTAAGAATTTTTACTAACAAATTTAATAAAATATAAAAAATAATGCAAAGTTCCCAATCCGTTTTAACTTATCACTTTCTAGGAGGTTATTATTATCCTAACGAGGACCAGCATTTCTGTTTATCAAATTGTATGAAGGTTGACACAGAAATAGCCATCTTTGTTCATTTTAAATGATGGCTGCTGTCTGCTGGAACTAAGATATCAAGTAATGGCTATTACAATAACCTTCAAATCATACTGAGAAGCATATGTAGTAAGTGAATGGTTCAAATGAGGTTTGGAAATTCAGCATTTCTTAACTAATTGCAAATTAATGTAAAATCATACGTATGAAATTAACCTTATTTTATATATACTGTAAGTATAGCTAAATATAACTTATAAAAAAGTTATGTATATTTAAAGCAAATATCAGCAATTTTTGTAATAAAGATAATTTAATTTTACTGTCTTAACATGTTAAGTGAACAGTTGTGTTATTATAAGTCAAATTAATAAACCATGCATTATTTAAAAGTTAGGTTCAATATAAAAAGAACATTTATAATTTTTATTTTCCTTCATTGTACAATTTCTTGCATAAATTACTCTAAAACATAAAGTGAATGTGAAAAATAAAATAATGAAAATAACAGTGTAATCCAATTATCTGAGCCCACTTAACCAAGGTTCTGCATCATGTGAGCCAAACCTGTAGGTGAATGCACTACTTTTTACTTAATTATAAAAGCTTTGTTGTGAATGCATCAAGTACGTAAATAAATACTGTGTACTTTTAACCTCAACTGTACTGAATGAATGGCTGATGCTGAGGTGATGGCAGAACATTGCAGCAAAGAAGGAAAGAACTGCTATAAAACATATCCTATGATGCAGCATTGACATCAGCTTAACTGTTGGACCTCTTCCAGTTGTCATGAGGACCCACTTCTCATCACAAATAGCATGCGACAGAAGGGTTCCTGTTGCAACCTCTGCAGATGAGATCTCCAAATGTTGCTGCTGGTAAGGCATCAATTCATATGAAATTTCGTCTTTTTTCTTTTATCTTATTCATCCTCATCAGGTGTCTGGAAATAGTAGTGTTATTCAGATAGGTCCCAGGACATTGTTTTGCTTAAGGTCTGTTTCTATGACAGCCTTCAAAACAATATCCAAAACAGCAAATGGCAGCTTCCTGTGGGGTCATTTTCCATGTTCAGATCTCCACTCCAAAACTAAGGCAGTCACTGCTTGGTGATGGTTTGAGTTTGTGTGACAAGCTGTCACAGTAGCATTACCAAAGGCCATACATATGTTTGCAGCTGCCTCAACTCTTTTGTATCAGTTTAAACTCAAAGCATCAGAACATATATGTTATGGGTTTCCAGCATTGTGAAAATTTGCATTTGGTTGCTGTGGTCTAAAACATTTCATGTGGGACATGATATATATGAACAATTTCTATGGTTGCTATCTGTATCACCAATGATAAATACCAAAACAATAACATATGTAGTACAGAGAAGAATAAACAAAAAAAAATTTACATATAATGTTACATTGCTTAAGTGTTGTTTTACACCACAATCTCACCAGTACTGTTAATGAACTCTGTTGCAAGAACTTGTTGTTTGCAATTATAGAAGCAATAAGAGGGTTTACAGCAAAAGTGCTCTTGAAAAACATATGAACAGTTATTTCTTGTTGAATGGAATTTTATTACTTTGTATGGTTACCTCAATAGCTCTGCAGCGCTGGTATAGAGCAGATGAGTTTTTTTCAAATATTCTATGCTAAGCTCGTAACACCAAACACTTCTAATACACTCTTACAGTTATGGTTTATTTTTAGGCCTCTTCTCTACAATTTTACACTATATACATAATATACTGATAATTTGCAATACAGGTCTGTTGCTCGGTCAACTTTGGCATTTGATATGGACCTCTTATAGGAATTTTTTTTAACCTAAACAGTAACTTATGTGTTAGTTTAAGTGATGATACTTTAATCAAAAATTGGGTTAAATATGGATGTTTATATTTAATTATATTTTTATAGAAATTGAGTGGTACAATTTCTAAAACCTGTATATAGTATATTTAAACATTGTGACATTAGTTCAGAATAATAAATAAAATGAGTTTTCTTACAAAAGTTGCTGATAATCAATAATAGATCAACACTTGCCAAATAGACAAATGATCTATTATTGACAGGCAAAACAGGCAGGTAACGCGTGCATTTTTTTTTTTTATTTTAATAATTGTATATTTAGAGAAAAGACTTTTAATATACTCTATATAATATGAGAAAATAAGATTAAGTGATTTTTAAAAACTTAAAATATAATTTTCTTTAAGATTAACAACACTTATAATGATTTACTAGAATGGCTTTAAAAATCTGGAATTAAGTACTGACTTAAAAATATTTTGTAAAGCATTATATATTACATTTAATTAATAAACTTGGGCGAGATTTTACAAATTTATAAATTTTTATTTTAACGAGAAAATATAAACTATAATTATACTTAGAGGATGCAACTCTAAATTATTATTATAACTAAAATACGATAGAAGACTTTTTTATAATTCTGGTTCTGATATAGTGTTTTGTTTAATTTATATTTAATCATTGTGAATGTTTAAATATATTTTAAAAAAAAATAGTTAAAAATTTGATTTCTTGTAGCTTTCTGATAGTTATGTCAAGAAGTTGCAAGAAAAAATTGTTACTTATAACTGTTATGCATTTATACATAATTTAAAGCATTTCCAAATTATATAACATTATAAATATTTGAGAAATCAGTAATTAGGTTACATACACCAAAAAAATAGCAACTTNTCTTCTTTTTGCTTACTTATCCGGAAATGCGAAAGAGGCGTTATATACACCTGATAAAAAGGATTTGAAGTGGAATGGATACTTTAATAAGTTGTCATATCCTACGATGCCCATCTTCTGAAAACATTCTGCATAAAAAGTCCATAGATTATTGTTGGAATCACTGCAGAATATTTTTTTTAAAGATCTGAATGTTTATAATTACTTGATGCTATGTTAGGATTATTTGATCACCATTTTGGACTTTTGAAAGAACAGCTTGAACTTTTTCTGGGTAATGAAGTAATCAAGGAACATTTACTGCAGTGATTGATGACAGAACTAACATTTTAAGTAGCATGCTTTTGGAAGCTAGTAGAATATTGAGACCAGTAAATGTTTAAAGGGATTTTACTGGAAAATATTTTATGTTAATAATCTAATTACTGACTTTAATACAGAAACACAATTTTGACTTCAATTTCATTTTATTATCATTTAGTGATCAAAACAAAATTCAATTGCTTTTTATAAGATTAGAAAAAAAAAACTAAAATATCTACGCTAATTTCATTTTAATATGTTTAATACTCATATGGAGAAAACTAGAAAACAAACATAAATTTTATTTTCTTTCAAACTTTATTATGAACTTTATTGAATAGCATTTAAGAGGTCATATTCAGAGATTCATTTTCTCGTCAGCCATGTTTGTGACAGATCTAAATTAATCTTTTATCTTTCTTATCAATAATGTCTTCATTAAAGCAAAATATTCTAAAATGTAGGAATCTAGTTTTGTGATACCAAAAACATTGTATGTTTTTAGTCTGTTTTGTTTTAATTACCAATATAGAGTTGCTTATTCCTTTCTTTAAATAATCATAATACCATAAATTCTTAAAAGAATAGCACCGAGAAGAATGGAACACTTGAAAGATGTGGCAGATGAATGTGTGTGAAATTTTTTGTTCTGTTGAAAACTCTTTCCCTCCGTGTATTTTTTAATTAAATTTATTGCATTTATATTTAAATTAATATCTAGAAAGTTTCTTATTTATTTATTAAAATACAATCTAAAAATATAAAATAGATTTCTGATTTATTTAAAAACAAAAGAAAAGTTTAGTAAAGAAATGAATTCCATCTAAAAAGTGAAAATATATCAATATTCTTCTGTGATATCCATATATTTGATTTCTTTTAATTTCAACACACTTTCATTATTATTATTGAGTTTTTGGGCTGCAATTTGAAAAAATTGTAGACCTATAAATTCCCATTGTTGTCCATCTATCTGTCTTTCCTTAGTCTTGAGAATGGAGTTAGATGAAAGATGATACCAGATATAGAAATATAACAAGCAGGAGGCCTCGATTAACTATATAAGAACTTTCAATGCAAACTGGAAGTTGTTATTTCAATTCAACATTTTCCCCCAAAAGGTATTAGATTAATGACCGGCACAACTCTATTAGTAAAGAAAAAGTATGATGATTCGCACGGGCAAGCCACTACTAATTTGAGGTGGAGAGTATATATTTTAAATTAAATAAATTAGTATATCAAACATCTCAAAGCCATATATATATATAACCAAATGATTGCCTTAATTACTTAGTATTTAATCAATAAATAGCAGATTAATAGCCCGATTATTTAAGGCAACCGTTTGGTTATATATTTAAATAAATTAAAAATAAAAATATGATTAAAAATTGCAGCCTGGCATTGTGACGATGTCACAATAACTAATTGCTTGTTATAAAATAGTTTTTAACGAGTAGTATCATCTAAGTTCCATTGGTGATGTTCTTTCAAGAGTTTATTACATAATCTTTTTGATCACTCATTTCTATCTTAAGTCTCTTTAGAAATTCCAGGTGGACAATGTTCTTTTATTAAAATATGAGCAGATATTCAGTATACAGTTGCCTTCCTAAAATTAATGTTTTAAAATCTTTTCTACAGTCTTTAACATTCTTCAGCTCTGACTGCAAGAGTTATATACTATGTACATGTATTTTAATTAATTAAATTATCTCTCAATCTGGCTATAATACAGTAATAATAAATGGAGTTATCTGATATTTTATTCCTTTTAAAATATATAATTTTAATGTGCAAATATTATTATATTGTACAAAAATTAAATTCTTTGACATGATTTTTACTTGTTACTTAAATATTTTTGCAGTCAGTTGCTTTTTAAAATCTTAATATTGGAAATAATTAGTTAAGAAAACAAAGAGTTAGAATTTTTAAAATAATTCCTCTTGCATTTAATTTTAGAACAGTTTCATATAATAAAATGCATGTCACAGATTTATTCACTTAGTTTTTATTGGAAATTTTCTTATTTTTTAGTTGAATTAATATTTTTATTCTTCTAAAATCAAAATTACTAACAATTCTCTGTACATAAGTTTCTTTAATTAATATTTATTTTTTTAATATATAATGATTTTTTATTTATTTCAAATGACTCATTTCTTCCCTGTAAATATTTGGATGTGTGTTCTGTTTTTGTAATTTCTTTTTGAAAATTCTCATGAATACAGGAAAAACTTTAATATTAATTTAATTTTAATATTTATTTTGTTGAGTGCCATTCTGGTTCCCCACAGGAAACAAGAAGCTTATTTAACTGTGCAATCTCCAAGCTAGTAAGAACTTTTAATTTTGTCTACCAATGAATTTTTAAAGGTGACCCGAACGTTCTACTTCATAAGAATATGGAGGAGAAATGAAGTTTAAACGTCTGGTTAGTTTCTTGTCCGAAAAGAAAACCACAGATAGGTCCGCTTAGTACATATTTTAATAAGTACTTAAATCCAGATAAATAATACATTTTAAATTTTTGAATGAGTAAAAAAGCTGTCTGTATTTTCTAATAATGTTTAAATAAGTGTAATTTAAATTAAAAATGCTTTTTAATTTAATAATAAAAATATAAATGCATGATAATTTATTTTTTAAATTTAACTTCTTTAAGGTAAATTCTTCAAAATTATCATTATATACTTTTTCAGACTTAAATCTCAGCTTACAGATGAGCAGCTAAAACAATACCAGTCACTTCAACAGACGAGTCTTCTTTTTGCTTACTTATCCGGAAATGCGAAAGAGGCGTTATATACACCTGATAAAAAGGATTTGAAGTGGAATGGATACTTTAATAAGTTGTCATATCCTACGATGCCCATTAAACAAGAGCCTTTAGATTTTAGTATGGCAACTTCTGTATTTCATTCAGCTAACGAAGATAATCAAAATATTTCAGCATTTTTGTTAGGAGATAAACAAAAACAATCAAAAATGATGGAACGCGAATGTGAACCAGAAGAAGGTACGTCTAAAGAAGTAAACAAAAATTCATTATTACTGCAACAGATAAAACAAGAGCCTAACACAAGTATACCAAATGTATCAACGTTGGTTAAGAAGAATGGAAGAAAAAAGCAACAGTTATTTGACAATAAGTAATACTTTTTTTAAGTACATTTATTAATTCAGATCTAAATACTTTATTTAATATTGCTGTAATATTTAATAAGAATTTGTATATAGTATATGAGGCGCATTCAAAAAGTTCCCAGAAAGTTATTATTATTCATAAACAGAATGCTATATTTATAATTAATTGATGTGAGCCTAAATTTGTTGACTTTTTTTTTATCAGTTATCAGGTATTCAAGTCTAGCTCCATCAGACATTTTTTTTATTCCCAAATTTAAAAGACATTTAAAGGCGTCTGCTAGTAGTTGATAGACCAAGTAAAACATTGTAATGCAGTGGCTAGAAATAAAGATCACTGATTTCTATTGGAAGGGCTTAGAGTGGTGGTGATACTATATAGAAAAATGTTTTAACTTAAGTGGAACATACATTGAAAAATAAATTGCTAAATTCATTTTGTTGTCTTTTTATTTACATTTTTTTAGAACTTTATGGGTGTCCTGCATATATAGTAATAAACAGAAATGTGTTGTTAGTATAAAACTAAAGTCTCAAGTTTCAAATTTCTTAAACAAAATACAGAATAAATATGAAAGACAGATTATACAATGAATGAATTTTTGTATATTACAATAACATTCATTCATTACACATTATATAAAGTTGTATTTAGTAGACTTTTTCAATTCCCAATATTTAAGTTTATTATTTTTAATAATTTAAATGTTGTAGACACAAATTTAATTCAGATAGGTATAATTCAATTTCTGTGTCAATATAATCTGTAAGCAGGTATGCACAATGACGAAGATAAATTCTGAGAAATATGTCATTGGGTTACTTTTTTGCTAAGCAAATATCATAGTGTAGTTAGACAAACCTATATGGTGTAGTCTACTACTATTATAACACTAAGTATTGTGTTTCTAAACATAGAAAAGGTATTAGTGGCTACAGATTTATTAGTTCTATTATATCTTATGGAACCACTTTTATTAAGCAGTATACACTTGTAATTTTTTGTAGTATTAGATGGATATTTCTTTAATAATACTGAGCCATTGTTTTTTGAAATGATTTGTATTAAAATTTAGTCTTATCAGATAATCATTTTTAAGTATAATAAACATCACAAAGCCCAATACATGGATACTCAATCAAATGATAACCTTAAATAAATTGGGTTATAAATCCACTATTATTGATAATTAAGTACTAAATAGAAGTAGACATTAGGTGCCCTCTCTTATCTAAATTAATAATTATTAAATAAACTATTAAAATTATAATTTAGAATCATCTGGAAGAAAATAATTGGCCTAGAGCAGGACTTGAAAATTAAAAATAAAAATATGATTAAAAATTGCAGCCTGGCATTGTGACAATGTCACAATAACTAATTGCTTGTTATAAAATAGTTTTTAACGAGTAGTATCATCTAAGTTCCATTGGTGATGTTCTTTCAAGAGTTTATTACATAATCTTTTTGATCACTCATTTCTATCTTAAGTCTCTTTAGAAATTCCAGGTGGACAATGTTCTTTTATTAAAATATGAGCAGATATTCAGTATACAGTTGCCTTCCTAAAATTAATGTTTTAAAATCTTTTCTACAGTCTTTAACATTCTTCAGCTCTGACTGCAAGAGTTATATACTATGTACATGTATTTTAATTAATTAAATTATCTCTCAATCTGGCTATAATACAGTAATAATAAATGGAGTTATCTGATATTTTATTCCTTTTAAAATATATAATTTTAATGNTTATCTAAATTAATAATTATTAAATAAACTATTAAAATTATAATTTAGAATCATCTGGAAGAAAATAATTGGCCTAGAGCAGGACTTGAACATGCAACCTCTGCTTGCCATGCAATGCACTTGCCAATTGTGCCACCTGTACCCCAAGCAAGACTTCATTTCCCGATGTATTTAAATTTAGATATAACAGTTACTTTTGCAGTTACTTATGTCGCCAGCTGGGGATGACAACTCCTCTCATGGCCTAAGTACATCTCCACAATGGCACTCAGCCATTTGGGGCATAGAAGTTGTCCCCAGCCAGTGACGTGAGTAACTGCATAAAGTTACATCTAAATTTAAATACATCTGGAAGTGAAGATTTGCTTGTGGTCCAGGTGGCACAACTGACAAGTGCATTATGCAGCAAATGGAAGTTGTGGGTTCAAGCCCTTCTCCAGGCTAGTTCTTTTCTTCCAGATGATTCTAAATTATAATTTTAATAATTTACTAAATAATTATTAATTTAGATAAGAGTGGGCACCTAACATCTATTTCTAGTACCAAATTATTTAGTATTTAATTATCAATAATAGGAGATTTATAGCCCAATTTTTATTTAAGATGATCATTTGGTTGATAGCTGTAATTAATAATTAAGATAACTATAATACAGGGGTGCACAACCTGCGGCCCGCGGGCCACATACGGCCCCTTATCAATGTTTATGCGGCCCGCGGACGGTACAGGCCAAANTTTCTACAGTCTTTAACATTCTTCAGCTCTGACTGCAAGAGTTATATACTATGTACATGTATTTTAATTAATTAAATTATCTCTCAATCTGGCTATAATACAGTAATAATAAATGGAGTTATCTGATATTTTATTCCTTTTAAAATATATAATTTTAATGTGCAAATATTATTATATTGTACAAAAATTAAATTCTTTGACATGATTTTTACTTGTTACTTAAATATTTTTGCAGTCAGTTGCTTTTTAAAATCTTAATATTGGAAATAATTAGTTAAGAAAACAAAGAGTTAGAATTTTTAAGTGTTTTGTTTAATTTATATTTAATCATTGTGAATGTTTAAATATATTTTAAAAAAAAATAGTTAAAAATTTGATTTCTTGTAGCTTTCTGATAGTTATGTCAAGAAGTTGCAAGAAAAAATTGTTACTTATAACTGTTATGCATTTATACATAATTTAAAGCATTTCCAAATTATATAACATTATAAATATTTGAGAAATCAGTAATTAGGTTACATACACCAAAAAAATAGCAACTTTTATTAATTTTCTTGCTTATATATTTTTATATAAACCTTTTAGAACTTATTCAAATTTTCCATGAGCTTCTGAAAACATTCTGCATAAAAAGTCCATAGATTATTGTTGGAATCACTGCAGAATATTTTTTTTAANAACATCTGCCATTACACCAGACATAAAGATTGCCGCCAGCATCCAATCTCAGCCATCGCATTAATCGCTTGGAGGTCCGGCCCCCAGTCAGTAAACTTAATCCTAATTTGGCCCTTCTTAACAAAAGGTTGTGCATCCCTGTATAATAGTTAATTTAACATAACTCAAAACATTAGTCACAAACTTACTTTTGTTCTGTAGCGACTTACACATCACATTTTACATTTTAGTTGAAAGGCAATAAGTGAATGTAAATGTGTAAAACATTCATCTGGAAAACTTGAGAATCAATATCTTAGGTCTAAGTTTTATGTAGAATAATACATAAGTGTTTGATAATTTTCTGGTTTGTTCTAATATCATATTAATATTTATCAATTAGATATGAATTCATTAATACAGAAGATGGTATAAAGCAAGTTAAACAAGAGAAAATTACAGAGAAGTTTAAACCTAAAAAGAAGGTTGATAGATTTGATGGAATGTCTGAAGAAGATGTGATGAAGAGAACTCTTCCTGATCATTTGATTCCTGGTCTAGATATTTTAATAGTAAGTACATACATAATTATAATTTAGTCATTGTTCTGATATGTTTGGAATACCAAATTAAATTAATAATTAACACATTTGGAAGTAATGTCAAATGTCCCCATAGGAAGTAATGTCAAAAATTTAGTCATAGGAAGTTGTGTGTCAAAAAATTTTTTGTTACTTATTATGTATGTGTTATAAACATGAAAAATATTTAAAATATACTAGGACATTGCACAACTCTGTTGAATTGCAATAGAATTGAAGCTGAGCCTGAAAGAAAGAAGTGATCCCTGCACCTGTTAGGCACAGAAGAGGCAATCCTTGTACAGTACCTGATGGAATGGATGTTGTCATTGTAATATCTTTATATATTGAAAACAAAATCATAGACTCCTTAGTTTTACTTTCCTGGCTTTGTTATAGATAACAGAGGGAAAGTATGATGATTGGAAAAAATACCCCCCTAGATTTTTACGTTTTTGAACTTAGGTGACTTTGAAATATTGAGAAATGCAAAAACATTCAGTTTTTTTCTATATATATGGATGTTAGTTTGTGTGTGGGTGGCATGATTTTATTTACCTTGTTTGAACCTTAACTCCTGTGCTTTCGAAAAATTCTGAAATTTTGCAGGAAGATTTGTGTATTAGATTCATGCTATTAGATTTTGGTGGTTTAAGGTTGCCAGGGTGGGGCAATAAAGGGTGGTCGTGTATCATTTCTTGAGTAGGGTCAGACTTAATGACAATTTTACTGGTTATTACCATTTACAATCTTTTATAAAACCCACCCCTATCCTCAAAATTAAGCTTTTTGCCATTTTATAATAATTAAAAATCTAAACAGTTTTTTTAATGAAATATTGCAACAGATAGCACTACCAGAATTCTTAAATGTTGCTGGATTTTTTACATTTAAATGGACTCACATTACATTTCTGGATTAATGGAAAATGACAAATTTTTTCAAAATCAATCTATTAAATTTTCAGAATGAACTTGATTCTATAAACCCATGATAGCAACCATGAAACATTGCATGACATTGCTTTGTTGTATGCACTCTTGCAACAATCTTATATCTCAAAAACAAAGTCACAGACTCCCATTTTTTATTGCATTTTTGGATTCCGCATTGCAATTAATGGAAAATGGCAACGTTTAATCAAAATCTATCAAATGGATTTGATAGTTTTGGACAATGAACACAATTCTGTAAGCCTCATAGAAGAAGCTTTGCTAATGCTATGCTTCAAATATATTCTTAGAAGTATACAAGAAACAATAATAATACTGGTTTTTTTTTTTTTTCTTAAAAACAAATCTTCTGAGCCAGAAACACAGCAAACTTTTAAACATTTCATTGCTACTACTTTCAATATGTAATAATTGGAAATATTACTTTCAATAAAGACAATGGATGAAACAAAAAATAATGTTAGAAGAATCTGTAATTTTTATATTTATTTTGTGAATTAAAGTTAATTTTAAAAACCAATTTAATTAGTAGTATAAAATTTATTCATCATATTGAAAGTAACCATGTTAAAAGGTTTTATATCACAATATAACTTATATACCAATGATGATTAATTTTTTTAATTTAAACTGGAGATTCAAAGAGGATTTTTATTTATTAATAATTAAATCAAAAATTGGAGATTAGAGATGATGATGATCTAAGGAAATTAATAAAAATTAATTTAAATTTTTTAATGTTAGGTATTTGTAAATATTTTCTGTGTCTTTGATAATTTGTACAAATACTTTTAGAATTTACATTTCTAAATAATTATCAGTGATACATATATTTTCAAAGTAGTTTTAAATTAATTTCAGTATATTAATATTTCATTTATTTGTAAAATTATTTTTTTTTCAGATTGGAATCAATCCTGGTTTAATAGCTGCATTTAAAGGACATCATTATGCTGGTCCTGGAAATCATTTCTGTAAGTATCATCATCATTCTGAATTTTTATATTTATAGTTTTAAGTGAAAAAAAGATGTTTAAAAAATATCTATGAAAAGACATCATGTAAAATTAGCTATAAATTGATTTAGCTCTTTCTTTAGTGATGTAATAATCCTGTATTTGCTGAACTTCCAAGATTGTTTCCATCTTTTAATTCCATTATATCAGTATTTCCCAAACTATGGGTTCATGTTTTTACTCAAAAACGTCAGCTTGTGGCATTGCAACCAAAAGTTTTTGAATTACAAAAATTTTGTGTAAAATTATAAACTACAGTTTACTGCTGCCCTTTAGCAACCAAAGCACACTCACTGGATGCTTGTTTCTAGAAATTTCCATTATCATATTTAAGCAGGATCACTTCTGTTGAGTCCAGTCCAGATATAACAGTGAATGCATAAACTTTAAAGCAATCTACCAAAGTAACTTATGAACTGTGTTAGTTGCTGGTGGTGGACATAGTTAATGGATTGGTCACAGTTAATGAAAGTGAAATGTCAATGTTACTCCCAGTATTTATTTTTGTTTAGTACTTATGTTAGTTAGTCATCTTTGTGGAAATGCATAACATTAACTGTTATGCATTTCCACAAATGTTTGAGGCTGTTAAATGTCTTTGTTGTGAATCTTTTTGTATTGAATCAAGGCTAAGTGGTTGTTAAAGAAAACAATGATGGCACAAAATTCTGGAATTGAAGACAAACAGAATGGCAATGGATGAAATGGTTAATCTAAAAAATAATAGTTGAGGAAGAAGAACTTTCAATGAGTTCTAAACGATCAAATTGGAGCTTTAACATTTTACCAAGAGCAACGAAAAAGCTATGTACAGTTCATATCTAATTAGTTTTTTTTTTAATTGTTCAAGATAATAAGCAATATTCAATTGATAGATCTTTACTGCTTCCAGCAATAAAGATGGTTGGAGTTAGATTAAATGAGAAAAGCTTTAAAGAAATTAAAATGATACTGCTTTCCATCTTTACACACAATTTATGAAATGTTCCAGTGGACAGAAGAGGAACTATTCCAAAGAGATGGACTGTGAAGTTAATCTGAATATTACATGGACTCACTGCAATATTAACAAGAAAATGTTGCCACTGAAAACTGTCAGATGTTTTATAAAGCATTTTAAACGCTTCCATTGAACTAATGAACTTTATCAATTCATCTTGTGCTTGTTTGAAAAACTGAAGAAATGGAGTATTCATAAATTACTTCGGAACAAGACATTGGCTTTGAGGCTCTTGTTGACAACACTTGTAAAACTGCATGACAAAATGATGTTTTTGGATTAGAAAAATAATTATGCAGGAGTTTGCTTTGATGAGGAATTTGTCCTGAAGCTTATGTATTTGACAGGCCTTTATGAAATTAAACTGAATATGTGGTTAGAAGGAATGGGTGAATCCAATATATTTACAGTTGATAAAATTTCCAGTTTCATCAAAAAATTCATGTTGCAGATGAAGAAAATTGAAGACCACAAGTATGACTGTTCTGAATCATTTGAAACCTTAATCATCATTAATGAAGTGAAATCAGCTAATTAGTATACGTCTCACAAACCTCACAACCTCTGCATACTTGAAAGTAATAGAAGAAAATTTTGGTGATTACATTCTTAAAGAGAGGGGGGGAACTGAGCAAAAAACCTGGATTGAAAATCCAATTAGGTTGATGTAACAAGTGGAACACTGACAAAGGCTAACAAAGAACTCACTGAAATATCCTATGATACCATGTTAAAATGAATATCAAGAAAAAGATTGAAACAGTCGTGGTTGTCTATTTAACAAATATATTCAATACTTTCTACTGAAACTTTGAAGATACTCCTCCCTTATAAATCTTTGCACTCCTTTGAATTTGGATTTCTGGCAGTGGTAAGAATGAGATTCAAATTTTGAAGTACACAGTACACGTACACCCTATAACAGTAGATACGTTCCAGTTTTTATGAATGCATTTTCTATGAGTCCAGCCAATCACAGCCTGGCATGTATGCAGTTTACGGACTATGGCTGTTTGAAAGGTTTCTTCCATAAAATTAATCGATTCTAAACTAATTCGACTCAACATTTCCAAAATACATATAATTTTTTGGGAATAATCCATATAAACTATGCTATAAACAAAAAATTGTAGGATTACTTACCGAGCATGCACCGTTTGACTACACCATTGCTTAAGCTTGTTTTCGTCGTGGAGCTTGTCATCGAATGGCGCTTGCATGCTTCCTGATAAATTATTTTTTTTGCAAAAAATTTGCTGAACTTTGGAGACATCATTAATATAAATATAATTTTTATGGATGTTAAATAATAATTGGTCCAATGGTTTTTACAATATCTGCTATTGGTCTAGATTTGACCAATCCTGTTGCGACACAAGTCGGTGATGACGTTTTACCAAATTATGCGAGTATTTTTAGCATGTTTGTACGAATACTGTTGCAATTTTTTTGCTGTGATATAGGAATCTGAACTATAGGAACCCATGTTATGGGCGGTCGACTGTAAATACAATTGTCAAACTCCTTAAGCCTAAAAATGACTCGTCTAAATTATTTAATAAATTATAAAAATTATAATTATTAATTTCTATAAGAGATGGCACCTAACATCTACCTCTAGTACCAAATTATTTAGTATTTAATCATTAACAATAATGGATTTATAGCCTGCTTATTAAAGCAGCTCATTTGGTTGATTATCTATGTATTGGGCTTTGGTATGTGTATTACTATATAAAGAATGAGATTTATACTTAAAACTGATTTATTATTGTATATGTAGATAAATATTTGTTTAAATTTGTAATGAGTTAATTCTTTTTTCAGGGAAATGTTTATTTCTTGCTGGGTTAATTCCTGAACCAATGACAGCACTCGACGATTATAAACTTTTAAATTATGGAATTGGATTCACAAACATTGTAGCTCGTACTACTAGAGGAAGTAGTGATTTAACAAGGTTATTGACTTATAAATTTTCCCAATATGATGATAAAAATGTGTGTAATTGACAATGTATTACATTTTTATTTTTAGATAATGAATAGTTACTAGTGCAATATTTCTTTAATATCAGTTTTACATTTGCTTCAAAGCAATAATTGATAAAATAGTTTCAATACAACTACAGTAGAGCGTCAATTATCCAAATGCCAATCAACCGAAAGCATTCCAGTTGGACTGTGTCGTGCTGAATCAATCATTTTTGATACTAGATTAACTTTTAAAGTATAATTTTTTTTTGTTTTTATATTTTTCAATATATTTATTTTGTTTGTACAAAATAAAGATATAATTTTTAACAATACAATAGCCACGATTATTATAATAAACATTTTTGTTAAGCTTAACATCAACGAAAATTCAACACGAAGCGACACATAATGGAGAAAAATTTAAATGTGGGATATATATGAATATACTATTATTGGGATATACTAATATATACTTTATTAATAATGTATTTTTTTGTACATAATTGGTTATCCAAAAAATTGATTTTCCAAACAACACCAGTCCCCAATTGATTCGGATAATCGACTCTCTACTGTGTTCATTTTCTATAATTTGTTTTTTATCTACTAATCAAAATTTCAGAAATTCCAAAAACTCTTAAGATTTAACTTAACATAATTCATTCAAACATAAGTGAATAATAATTTCTTCTTATAAAAGTGAACTATCTAACAACAGTTCTTAAATACATTATATAATATATTTTACTGAAATAATTATTATTTTAGTCATATATTATTTTTTTTAATATCCTTGATATTATATTTCAGTTTAATATATGTTGTTATATCTTTTGTTTCTCATTTCTGTTACTAAACGATAAGAAGTAAAATTTAATACTTAAAATTGGTTAATTGATAATGTAGGAAAAACATTTAACACTTTTTTATCTCCTTAAATAGCCAAAGTAAAGTTTTAAACAATGAACATCTGTATAAGAATAAGAAATATTTCAAGATGATTTTCTCACTAGGAAGCCAAAACATTCCTTGATAACTGTTTTATGTTTTCCTATGAAAATTTACATGCACTTATATTGTATGTTGCAAAACAAGGTTGTCTTAAAGCAATATTGAAAATGGGTCTGTAAAGAACCATAAAGCAATAAGAAAGTTATTGAGAATGTTTGGGTTTCCTATTGAGAGAATTATCCTGTATAATATATACATGACTTTTTGGAATCAATAGCTTTTTTTATTTTTTTAAACAAACCGTTTAAATGAAAGTAATAGAAATTTGGTAACAAATACAGTATAAACAAAATTTGTCATTTAGTATTAGCACTTATCTATAGCACTAAATGTATACATATTCCATACACAACTGTTATAAATGCTGAGATAAGCAGAATAATTTCCAATTTGTAAAGAAACTTTTTACTAAGTAAAGTACTTCACTTGGTCTATACTCAACACCAAAAATTGGTATTTACATTGTAATAGTTGTCTTGATGTATACCTGGAAACATTATTCTATTCATATATAAACATCTCTAATCTTAATAGTTATATTGAAGCTAAATAATTGCCAGATTAAATCAGACTATATTATTGTTACTATTAATAATTAAAGAACTTTATAAATTATTCAAGTAAATATTAATTTGATTATAATTATTAAATTTAATAAGAGATGGCATCTAACACCTACCTCTAGTATCAATTTTTTGGCAATCATTTGGCTTTAATCATTATATTCAAAATGTAGAGGCAATTCAGAGGCAAATTGGAAATGCAGTCTTTCAACAAGATCCATGCATATTGCATGCTCCACTGTTGCTTTGGGTTTGCCAAAGTTTAGTAAGTCTTAGAGTTGCTCTCAAATTTACATGCTAGACAAGTTGCCAATGTTTATGCTATAAAAGGAAGACTAGAAATGTTGTTATATGCAATTGCAGGATATGCATAAATTTATGTCCTTTGCATCTTGTGCAGAATGATATTTCCAAGTATACAGTACAGAGAATACTTGTTTCAGTATCTCGGCTGAATTTGTTATAGATTATAGTTATTTAATACAAAATTTTTTTACAAATTGCAAATGATTCTGCTTCTCTTATTGTTTGAAAACTGCATTGTGTGTACACATACCCATTTAATTCCATGAGTAAGGTGTAAAAATGGTATATAATACACATGCATAGGTGTTAGTTATGTAATTTTAGATGGGTGTGTGCATTAGGTGTTAAGGAATGTTACAGGAGTGGGATGATAATTGAAAGGTATAAAAATAACATTACATAATTTATGGATGATTCCTTATAGAAATAAGTAATACTTGCTGTTATATCTGTCAGCTTTTTTGTATTTTTTATTACAATATTTTTTTACTAATTTTCATTTAATGAAATTTGACTTAACAAAATTGTTTTTCAAAAATATTATAAACAAATAATTGAAGAATTTTATTTAAGAATTATTTTTAATAAGTAAAATAATTTGACATGGTAAAGAATTCAACTACTCCATTTTTTTAATGTAATCACTGACCATTAAAGCTAATTATATTATAAAAACAAGGTTGAATATTTCTACATAAAATGCAGGGATACATAATTGTGTAAATTTAATTTTCAAATATTAGAAAAATGTTCTTAAATTTTGTTGTTGTGAATGACAAAACTAAATTAGGAAAATTTATTTTACACAGTGTTATGTTCAAATTACTGTGATGTAAGCGTTGAAGATTAATTGAAGGGAATCTGAAAGTATTTTCCAATCAGTTAAACTTTGTTCAAAATAAAAATTTTTTTAATTGAAATAAAAGTTTTTAAATGTTTGCAAATTTCATAACTAAGATAGTGTAATTGGATTAAATCTGGCCTGGCCACCAAATCAGTTTTGGCATTATTTTTGGCCAGTCCTGGATAACATAGTCTATTAAGATGCAAAAATCATACAAAATTGATATCAAAGAAATTTTCCACAGAGAAATATTTTAACTGTTGCTGTCAGCACTGTGTTCTGAGCTAATATGTTGACTTTATTTATGATTGCAGCACAGTGAAAAGAGCATGAACAGAAGCTAAATAAAGAAAAAAAAAGTGGAACTTGCCCTTTAAATGGGTGATCATAACTAGGTCAGGTTATTCTTTTAGAAATTTTTTGAATAAACACACTTAAAACCAAAACTTCAGCATAAATCTTTTAATAGATGTGTAAACGTTTTTAGCCATCTTAACAATTAAATAAAATACTTTCTTGTTATACTATAAATGCAAAGATAAATGTTGCTGTTTAATTTATAACACCTCAGTGTCTAATATCAAAAAGAAAGTTAACCTGCAACATTGTATTAGTTATTTATTGTACAGTAATGTTGTGTAGTATGATTATATAATACTGAATTTACACGAGAAGAGTTAATCTCTGATGATGCCTTCAAACCTGTGTAGTTTTTATCAGTTGAACAGAATGAAATTTGATAATCTAGATCAATATTTTAACACCCTTTCTTCAATTGCATTAACCTTCTTAGAGTGGATTAGTGACATGAGTCACAGCATTAGATCTAAATAAATCAAGTTTGTATAAATACCATCTTAATTTATGTTCAGATACTTGTGCTTATCTTAATAGTGATAAATCTTACACAAAATTTAAATCATTTAACCAGAATTTCCACTAATTGTAGTCCCAATTTATTTACCCTAAAATGATTATAATAAGCAGATTCTACTGTACTTTTTTTTTGTCACTGATTAAAACAGTAATACCTTGATTTAACAGACCAATTTGGGTGAGTGGGTGTCATTAAAGCCAAAAATCTGTTATAAGTTTTCCAAATGCCTATGTTAAAAAATTGACAAACTAGTTACTTATCTGTTTTTGCTTATGAGACTCTTTGATACCTCATCAGGATACCTCATCAGGACTGGCTACGCCATGTTTTGTTTGATATGGAAGCCGCATCAGCGAGATTTGTTTAAAAGTAGGTCACGTGAGTGGCCACATGCACGGACGATTGGATTCGGGGTGGAGGAGGTCTGAGAGACGGTGCACCAGAAGTGAATCACTCAGATGCCAGGTTAACAACTAATAACGATTTAATTTCAAAGAAAACATGATACAGTTTACAAGTTAGTAAAACATTAAATTTAAGGGATCTATAGACATAAGTGGATGAGAGAGAGTTTACATGAGGTTCACATGGCAATAGATACCTGAGGTTGATGATGTTCGAAAGTGGTCTGATGCTCGTTGATGGTTGACTCATTATTGATCATTGTAGCAAGATTTCTTAGTCGCAGGTGATAGTTCATCTCTGGAATGCGTAACAGTAGACGAGGAAGTACCTGTAAGAACTAGATGTATCCACTGGAACTAGATAAGGCACAGTACTAAACAGTTGGATGAACGGACGACGACTGACTAAACTCTCAGCTACTTGCTATATTGAACTGATGAAATTGAGACAGTAGGTCAGAAGGTTATGAGAAAGTGTTGCTTTCAATGCTGAGAACTTGGCAGATGAATTACTCCCAGGTGTGAAAGTTGACAGTTATTCAACAAACTTTTATTGTCAAGAGGTTATGTTGTGATTTAGTTATGTTGTTAATAAGTTACATAGTGAGTGCAGATTCTCACACTTATGTAGATACATATGTGTAATTAAAATTAAGTACATATGAGAAGTTTAATTTTACAGAAAAGTTTTCTATACATATTGTTACTTTTGTACTCACTATAGAGACTGAGATTGTAGTAAACAAGTGCATGATCTAAATCAAAATAAACAAACAAACACTTTTTGGAAGATACACTTTAATTGTATTTAATTAAGAGCAGTGACTCTTATATTTGAAAAAAAATAACCTTATTCTTTACTTCACAACTGAGTGCATAGGTAGACACTGGGCATCTTTAACATCACTCTTTATTCAGGAATATCTTACACACTGATACTCATCACCTATGCACCCAGTTGTGAAGTAAAGAATAATTAAAAGAAGACACTGTTTGGAATAAGTCATATAAAAATGAACAGGTTATTTTTTTTATGTTATGTGGACTGGAAATTTTGTCCATTAAATTGTGGCTTTACTGTATTTTGAATATTAGTATATTATATTGCATAATTATAATTTTTTTAAAGAAATTTTATGAGGAAATGAATTTTTGGACATATGATAACTTTCTGTAACATCTGATTAAATGTTTTTTAATCAGAAATATGAAATTGGTTTTTACAATATTACTCATATTATTACACTAGCAATTATTGCAACTTTTTCTGTAAGATTACAATTTGAAATTAATTCATAATTTTGAAATGTACAAGCAATAAATTTTTCTATACAGCATGTTATCTACATGTATTATTCAAGAATTATTTGTCGGATGATTTTAAATGTTTTTTGTACTGGAATCATAGATACATCTATTTGCAATAAAGAAAGTGGAATCTGCTTATTGTAATCACAGATATTGCTATCAGCAGTTTAAATATTATCAGAATTAGTATGTCTCAAAACATAAATTAAAATGTTTATAAAATTTTACTTACTGTAATCAGAGTTTTAGGTATTTTTATCATTATCTTCAGATAAGTAGGCATTTTTAAAATGTCTTTTCATGCTGTCAGTTTTACATGTGACTGATAATACACTGTTAGTTTTAAGTAGTGCTTGAAATAATGATTTAAATTATTGACATTAACATTTACTTTCATTACAGTAGTTTAAATTGCCAGTATTTTTTATTTCAGTTACACTATTATTAATTAATTAACGATTAATCCAAAATTTAATTTTTAATTGCCTTTACATGTTTTAATGTCAGTTAATAAAACCATGATTTATGCTAATTGTAATAGTCCATACTTACATGGGGCTGTCAATTAATTGTGTGTATAGTTTTTGAGTCAGTTGTCAAAACTGGCAAAAGTACATCGTTATCTTTGTATACAGTAGTGTACTTATGGTTCCTTTTGTACAATAGTTCAGGGACACCTCTGACATTGAAGAAATGGCTTAGAAGATATTTGCAGAACTTTTTTTTAACTACAGTATAAGTTTATTAGCAAGTAGGCTTATAAGAATTTGTACACCACTAATACCAGTGTGAAATCCGCGATTTTTACGCCGATGTCGGAAAAATCTTTGTAAACAACTCCGATGGAAAAACCCACTCTTGGTGAGAAGTATATCGGAGGTCACCGATTGTTTTCACATTATGATGGGAAAGTTGACAGTTAGTTGATCGGAATGCACCGTAAGTGTCAACTGAAGTCGATCACGTGCCTCATTTCCCACGAATAACGTATAAAAGCTCGAGTCCCCGGAAGCTCAGGGCGATCCCTCGGAAGTTATACTTGGTAGATGTGCCATATTTGTCTCCATACTCCGGACCGAAAGGACATACGACCAACCACAGCCGTTTGAACTTCCATCGCCATTAACGAACATATTCAACGAACGCATTTTAGACATATCGGCATACAGGTATCTGTACTTTTTAGAGCTTTGTGAACTCTCTCTCAGACTAGCAGGTAAAGCTAATTAGAGCGTCCCTTTTGTACAGTGAATTTATTTAATCGCATTTAACCTATGTATCCTAGCTTAGTTATATAAATAAATGCTTGTTTTGTTTTTAAACCTGTCTCCTGTCTCTGAAGGACACCTGCCGACTTACCGACGCACTCCCCACTCAAATTTTTGCCCTCCTAGCCATCCGACTAGCCGAGAACGAGTGGTCATTTGGGATGAGCCCAGTGGCCCACTGCTAATCTCACACCAGTAAAAAAGGCCACATAGACATTGTCTTGACACTTCTCTCCTCATTGTATACAATGATGTGCTTTTTGTGATATTTCTCCTCCTTAAATTATACATGTAATTTACAACTGATAACAACATTTATCTCTCTCTCAATGAAAGTTTCTTTTTCATTAGAAAAGAAATTAAAGAAGGTGCAGAAGTATTACTGAAGAAATTACAAAAATTCCAACCAAAAATTGCAGTTTTTAATGGAAAATGTAAGAGAGATTTTATTTTTTAAATTAATCAAGTTTTAAATAATAATAAATTGTTTAATTATATCAGTGATCTACGAAGTGTTCTCTGGTAGAAAGACTTTTGATTTTGGAAGGCAGCCAGAACCTGTTCTAGGAACAAAAGTTGTAAGTTCAAATTAAAATCTATTTTAAGTAAGAAACAAATTAATTTTAATTGATTATGATATATTTTTAAAAATTTTAAATAATTCTTAACATTTGTGGCATAAATATAATGTTGATTTCACAAACTTTGAATTTGAAATTAAATACTTTATTAATTCAGTAATTTTTTAAAACCATTTATACATTAAACAAATAATGAGTAGCAAAAATTTTCATGTGTGAATATGAATGTTTCATTTAAATATTTTGGTTGCTTTTGTAAGTGTAGGAAATAGTATTAAGAAACAAAATAGCACGTCAATTATTACTTAATTGTCGTGTGTGTTTATTGTGGTTTGCATTTCTAAATCAATATGAGTCATTCATATTTTTCCACAATGTTTTAAAATCTTTCAAAATGAATGCTACCATTTTAAATTGTAATTATATTAATTATTATCTGAGAGGTATGTGATGTACAGTACACCAATCAAGAGTAACTGTCTGAGTTTCATTTCCCATCTGCATTCAAACATCTTATCTACCTCTGGGCTCCTCCTAAGTGCTATAAAATGGCACTCTGCACCAGAGAAGGTTTTTTGTATTCTAGTTCTATAGCAGCTGTAGAATTGTGGCTGCTGTGGGAGGAATGACAATGGATATGCTGTAGTGAGCATAGGAAAAATTTGAGTATCAGTCATATATGTGCCTTGTGATAAGGTGCATATGTTGAGAAAATGTAATGGGCAAATCTGAAACTTATATTCACTGTTTATTTTTGTTAAAATCACATGTACTATAATTTTACAATATGTTGTTATTAATATTAAAATTCAATAAAGTAAAAACAATTTATTCCTAATAAAAAACTATTCATATTTGAAGGTCTGATAGAGCATAGAGAGACATAATAAATGATGTCATTGACTATTATATAAATATAATCAATACAAAAATGAAAACTGTCTGTACAGCCAAGGTTTTGCAACTATTGTTTTAGTGAAAAATATAGAAGTCATTGCTGATGATGTGTCACCATTTTAAATTAATTTACTATATTAATCATTGCTATAATATTTTTTACTTTCTTAACATTGATTAGTATACCTAGATTTGGAAATAAAACTTATTAGTCATAACCAAAATTATATGATTATTCTATTTAAAATTTTATAGTAAACTATGTTTAACAATTTTTATCTTATATGGATTTTTTTTATATAGTTATATTATATGAAATTCCCTATACTACTATTCATATTTATATAAATCACAAAAAAGTAAAAGTTAATTGAAAAAGTTGTTCACTTTATACAATATACTTTTATGTTTCACTTGTTAAATTGATGATGTAGTTCTCATATACTGTTATATTCCAATTAACCCTTAAAATAACTGGAGTATATGAGAACTAATTAATAATAAAGGGGATAAGAAACTAATCGTTAGACATATAGAATTTAGTTTATTATGTAAATTTAGCATGACATCTACATGGTACAGTTTAATTTAAATTATAATTTACAATAAAAACTAATTTTTAAACAACAAAAATAAAGGGGTATATTATAGTTACTCATTGTGGGTGATATAAGTGCTGATCTAATGGCTATTCCAACATTATATTATCCCTCTGTAAGGCTTGAAGTAGGGTAGTGTTTTTTTCTAGAGCTGTCGAATATTGAACTATTTCCAATCATTCTAAACAGTGGAGTTTAACTCTTGGTTTAGAGCCAAGCAAAACATTTTTGCTCAGCCCTCTCTTTAGGCAAATTAAGGATTTCTGGATATTTAACAAAAATCATTTTCACTTTTTTAGTCAGTGATGTAATTGGTTTTGCTTATTTCATACATAATTTGTGCCATCTAAACTTTCCTCCTTGTTAGTTTCTTGCTACTTTTGTGAATCTGTTGAGGTGATTCCTGTGCATATCTTCTGGTGTTTGTGCAGATCTTTGCTTAGACAAACTTACTCATCTGTGTTCTCCTTTTTTGAGCACCAGTGATGTCCCTCAGTCTTTCTTTAGAGATCAGACTTCTACAAGGCTTTCAATGGATTACGTGCATTTTTTCTTAATTGCATATCAATTATGAACACAATCCATAACTGTTGTACATTACATAGTAAAGTAATAACTTTATATAACTAGTTTTCATATCATTATCAAGTTTATTCTCATTTTTTTTTTTTTTTTTTTTTTTTTTTTTTTTTTTTTTTTTTTTTTTTTTTTTTTTTTTTTTTTTTTTTTTTTTTTTTTTTTTTTTTTTTTTTTTTTTTTTTTTTTTTTTTTTTTTTTTTTTTTTTTTTTTTTTTTTTTTTTTTTTTTTTTTTTTTTTTTTTTTTTTTTTTTTTTTTTTTTTTTTTTTTTTTTTTTTTTTTTTTTTTTTTTTTTTTTTTTTTTTTTTTTTTTTTTTTTTTTTTTTTTTTTTTTTTTTTTTTTTTTTTTTTTTTTTTTTTTTTTTTTTTTTTTTTTTTTTTTTTTTTTTTTTTTTTTTTTTTTTTTTTTTTTTTTTTTTTTTTTTTTTTTTTTTTTTTTTTTTTTTTTTTTTTTTTTTTTTTTTTTTTTTTTTTTTTTTTTTTTTTTTTTTTTTTTTTTTTTTTTTTTTTTTTTTTTTTTTTTTTTTTTTTTTTTTTTTTTTTTTTTTTTTTTTTTTTTTTTTTTTTTTTTTTTTTTAACTGGTCAAGTTTAGTTCGAATGTTCATTATCATGAAAATCAGCTTAGTGTTCCATGATAGCAAGAAGCAGGAAACAGGAAAATAAAATTGTTGCCAAAGCCCAATTCAGGACCTTCAACCTTGGTTTGCTCATCGCTGCTCTATCATACTAATTTATTTAAAGAGAAGCAGTATAAAAATTTAATAGATTATTGTTACATGAAACTATGATTTTAATTTTAGAAATATACTAATAATCCTAGCTCTGGACATTTTTAAGTTTTTTCCTGCATTCCTATGAAATGTTTGGTGATGGTGATTTTTATTCAAGGATTTGATAAATTTAAAATAGTTTAATAAATAAATGAATCGGCATTATTTTTCTGGGTTAAAAGAAGTCAAAAGTTTAATAATTAAAAATCTGATGATTTGCAAAAACATTTATTTATCTACTTATATTTATATACAGTATATGAATTTTGAAGTTGTCACTACCAATAACGATAACCTTACAAATTGGAAATCAATGAAATAACAACCGTGACATATTAAATGAAAATTTCTTCTATATATTATGAATTATTTCCTTTTTAAAATATTATTCTAGTTATAAAAAGTAGATTTAAGTTAATATCCTATTGCAAATTTAACTTGCAATACTAATTATCAATGTCATGATCTTTTTAGATGTAATGCTTTAATTTTTGATGAAATTAACAATTGAATTTAATTATTCATCATTATATTGCACATTTTTAAATTCTTTGGTTCCCTGTTATATATTTAAAAAATTTTAGTCAACTAAATGTATTGTTTTGATACTTGTGAATTTTAAATTTGTTTAAATCTGAGATTTTATTATATTAATTAATTAATCTTTATTATTTTATTTTTTTTTTTTTGATAACTGTGTTTTGTTAATTGGAAAGATTTTAAAAATATAAAAGCTGTCTCAAATAATTTTCATAAATTTAAGGAATTATTTACATAATTTTATATCAGTATACTAATATGAAATGAGTATTAATAATAATATAATTTTGTAAAGTTACGGAATAACTGTAAATTTCGTAAGCACACTATCCAAGTGAAAGTGATTAGTGCATTTTTTAAAGACATTTTCTTGCAGTTTAACTTTACACATTATCTATTTATGGAAACATGTTATATAAAGTAAATGTTCCTTGCTGTTTCTTCCAATGAGAAATGAGATTAAAAGGAAAGAGAGCAGAGGGATAAGAAGGAAACTGCATAAAGTAAACAGTTCTACATTAATGCAGATGACAGATCTCTCACAGCACCAACTGAAGTGTACATATGCAACAACAAATTTGAAACCAGTATAGAAAACATAAAATATTACTGTAACAGGAAGAAACATGCATGCACTCATGTAACATGTATATATGAAAACAGGATATGTACAGTACACACATATATATACAATGCAAATATCACTGACATTAATATATGTGTTGATATAAACTGTGTCAAAAAGACAGCCCTTTTTCTTTCCAGCAACAATATTTAATGGTTAGACAAAGGTTCTCGGACTGATTTTATAGTATAACTTCAGGTCTAGATTCAACTTAATGTACTGTACAATGCCTTGCATTATATTCTGAAACATTGGAAAGTCATATGACATGTACACCAATTTTTAAATTTTGGAATATGTACAAAAATTCAAATTTGGTTACAATTTTACAAATGTTAACGATTCTGTTTACATCAAGAATAAAAATAAAAATACCTCATACATAAAATGTTTCCGATAGAAAGCAAATGTACATAAAGTTGAATCTAGACCTGAAGTTGGACTGTAAATCAGTCCAAAAACCTTTGTTTAACCATAATCTTTTGCTTTCCAGCAACAATATTTAATCTTTTTGATATTTTGAACAGTTTCCAGTTTGAGATTTTTGTTTCTTTTTATGTGTAAGCTATCCAATGACCTGTAATAACGTATAATTATTGCAACTGTTTGCTCAAGCAATTCTGATACCAAAAGACTTCTCTTTTCACTTGAAGATCTATAGTTATTAATTAAATTCAATATTTGGCAGTACAATATTGAAGATAAATTAATATCTCGGTAACAGTTTTTAAAACACAACAGCTTATTATTCCAAAACATAAATATCTATTTGTGTTTTCAAAAAAATTTAAATATTAGTAATAATATAAGATTTGTTTCTATGCAAGGTTTCATTAAGTGCAATTGTTACCATATAATCACACTTCTTTCCAAATAAAATAATTAAAACTTGTTTCTTGAGAACAACTAATATTCTCTCTCGTAGGATTTGAGCGGTAGTAAAATATTTTTTATACAGTAAAACCTGTGTAAACTGGAATTGCACAGTACTAAATATTTTATCTGATTTGGCAGCTTTCCATTTTGAATGGGGGGGTTTTTTTGTAATGAAGAAAATTGCTCCATTCCAAAAGAATTATTTTTCATCCATTCTAGACAGGTTTTACTGTGTGTGTATATTTTTTGCATTATAATTAATCGTGTAAGAATATTTTTGTATTAAGAAAGATTTAAATCATTTTAAGATGAGAATGAGAATATATTTTGAATCATACCTTTCACATAAAGGAAAATAAATCTGTCATGTGATTATTAAAAAAGATTTCTCCTATTGACATCTTTTCCCAATTTTATCCTATCACCTTCCTGGGAGGCTTTACTGATATATATATATATATATATGAATAAAAATGCATTTCTACTCTACTGACTGTTTTTGCATGAAATATTCTATATATTGTAATTTCTCATTTTTATAACTGTACTTTTACTTGGGAGAGGAGAAAAAGATGTACTGTAGAGTCTGTTAACCTCATAAAGGTTTGTTAGTAAGTGATAAAAGTAGATATAACCATGAGATGTTGGTTGATTAATAGAAAATAAATTTTATAGTTGACACTTCTCTAGTCTAACCCATGTAAAACTGTCTCCACTCACTGATTGAGAGAATTATTATAATTTTTATATTGGAAAATAAAGGGGCGAATGAAACAAAATAAAACTAGACAAAAAAACACTCTGAAGACCGTTTCATTCACAAAACATGGAAATTTGCATAGCCTATGCTTAGTTTGAGATGGTTTTATGTGGTACACCCTGTATAACAGGGATTCCAAATGGGTCGATTTAGACCCTCTGGGGATCAATGGAATTCTGAAAGGGATTTCGAGAGTTAATTGGATGGATGGAAAAATCAGATACAATTATTATTATTATTATTTGAAAATAAGTATCAGAAATAATTATTGGCATAAGCCATAAATGATCAAAAACTTTAAAATTAAGTTAAATTTTATATAAAATTAATAATAACGTTTTATTTTTGTAGACAATATTTGTTATGCCATCATCGAGTGCAAGATGTGCCCAGTTACCCAGAGCTGTAGACAAGGTCCCGTTTTATGTAGCTTTAAAAAAATTACGTGATCATCTTTGTGGTTTGTTACCTCATTTAGACTTTACAGAGGTTTCGTTTCCCGACCTGAAACTGAAGGTAGACGTTAAAAAAGAACCATTCGAATTCGAAGCCGAAATCGACATGTCTGCTAATCCAGACTTTCTGTCTGAAAATTCTGTCTTTCATCTGGGAAACAAGCAAGAAAAGAAGAAGAAAAGTAGTAATTCCGCAAACCCGAAAGAAAGCGGAAGGAAGAAGCAGAAAACTTCGCAGAAAACCTCTTCCGAAGCATCCCACAAAGAATCGTGGAATAGTTTATTGCATTCTGCCGTCAACAATTGGCAACAGGCGCCAAACAAGGCAAAAGCGACGGCTACGACAATTTCCAATTCGCTCGACGATTCTATACATTGCTCCAGTGCAAATTTTCCAAATAATTATAATGCAAGCCCCTTTTTCTCGCCCGATAACAAAACGTATTTTCCAATCAATTTTGCATTATCTTCGATGGTCAATAAAGCCCATTTCCAAAACAACATCAAATCTGAGCCTTACGACCCCGATTTTGACGAATACTAAGTTTTAAAACTAAACAAAAAAAAACGTATCCATCTATTAAGTATTATAATAAAGCACGTTTTTTAGATTTAAAATATAGCTTGTCACTGCCATCTTAAGTGGTTGTATTTTTTAATTTATGAGGAGAGAAAAAAATTGTTTTGTGTGTAATTTTTTTAGTTAGATTTTTATAATGTGAATAATTCTCTGTAAAGTTTTTCTTTTTATTGTATTGTTTATAATTAAGCAAGATTTTGATGTACTTTATTATGAATTAAGAAGAGAAATTGTTAATTTTAATTAAGGTAATTGCATGTTTTACATATTTTATACGCTAATTTAGTCAACATCATCATCGCCGTGAACAATTCTGTTTAAGCTCAAGTCGTTCTGGATCTCTTGTTTGGACGGCTTACGTCCGTCTTTTTATGAGGTTTATGTGATGATGATGGCTTAAAATTGTTTTTAAAAATTCCAATTCCACATTAAATAATATATATATTTAATGTACGGGGTTTCCAAAACGAGTGCTACCATTTTAAGTTATTGTAATCATATTAATTATTATTCTAGTACGTTGTAATGTACACTAAAACATTGGAAAACTGCCCGACTGTCACGCTTGCCCATTAGTTTTTCGTATGTACTGTACACCTCGTGTCACATGGCACACGTCCAAATTCTGATTGCACTCGTCACATCTCCCAGGTTTATTCGTGTTGACTTTGCAAAATACAAAATACCAAAAGCCTTCTGTATTGCGGAGTCGCCATTTTTCTTTATGGCGCTTCCTAGAGGTAATAGACAAGGCGTTCGAGCGCAGATGGAAGGTGAAACTCGGACAGTTACTCTATTGATTGGTGTACGTTGCATACTACTAAGGTGATGACAGCATAACTACAGTAATTTAAAATGGATAGCATTAATTTGGAAGACCCTATATCAATGGCATTAGGAATTAAACGTTGTTTTGTTTTTGGTTTTTAATTTAATAAAAATATATTCGATATCAAAATATTAGCATTGCTTACGTTGGCATAAATGCTTGCTTACACTCTTTTTAATTATATCAAGATCTAACGGAAAAATAACGATGTATACTACTTGTATTAACATGTTAACCTGAAACCAGTCTTGTATATTTAGTTTTTAAAATATATGCTGAATATTTACTGAATGTGTAGTAATTAGTAAAATTGTATAATGGACCACAATTGTGAATATCTTTTTTGAATATGTTGAATTATTATTTTTCATCATACAAAATATTATTGTAATATTGTCATTTTTAAAACTATTTTTACAAAAAATTTCTGTAAAATTATATTAATAAACAAGCTTAAATATATAGAAATTTAATTTACTGTAATAATATTGTCATAAAAATAAAAATATTACTCTATAAAAAAATTCTGGTTTATTCTGTTCTTTATATATTTAACTGTACAGTAGTAATAACTATACAAAAATAATTGTAAAATAAAATATTTTGTTTTAGGAGTTTGACCTTCCTATAAAATGGGATTAAATTTAATTCTACTTTATAAACCTTTTTCCTATTTGTTAAATTGAATTTTTGCCATAGATTTATGAATTATATAAATTTAAGATGATGTTAATCTAAGAACAGAAAAAGGTTTATGAACTTTTATAATGCATTTAAACATTGTTATGAATTAAATACATTAAAATATTAAGTGATGGATAATGTTTGTTTATCTATTCAATGTGATGTTCTTTAATCATGTTTTTGAATGCAAAATGATAAATTATACTTATCTTACATAAAAATATTTAAATCTTCACCTTACAACTTATTAATTTACCAGTTAACTAACAGCAAATTTTCTATTTTTAAGATCCTAATTGGCTAGCTCAATACATTATATCACTTCAGAATGTTTATTCAAATTTCTGATGATAAAAGTTAAGTTTAAGAGGAAACATTCAAAAAAGATTGATTTTGCATGGGGAAAAAGACATTCAAGTAATGAAAATTAAGTGATTTAGGGTTTATTAAGTCATATCTTACTTAACTCTTGTTTGTTTATGCAATAGTAAAATATTTTCTTTATTCAGTTTGTAAACTTACCAGAAGTTTTGTCTTTGGGTTTTTTTTTTTTTGTTAGATCACTACTCTTTATTCTAATTTAAACATTTACATTGTAATAATCAAAAATTGATCTCGCTCTCTACTCAACAGATCAAGTTTATCTTGTTTTTATACAAAATAAACTTGTAATTTCCAATTTTATTATTATTTTAGTCATAAAATATAGGCCTATTAGACGGCTGCCCTTAAATTACATAACGCAGATGTGGGTATGCGGGTGATCGTTACGATGCGTTGCAAGGTTTGGTTTATTCGTATGAGGCAACACGACACTTGGGCGATCTACCGAGAGGGAGGCTAGCGTTTTGCCCCTATTTAGGGATATTTAAGTGAAGAAAATCCGAAAAGTCCTCTAACTAAGTGGTTTTACGCACTCGGACACTGGTGGGTAACGCGTTACAACGAGGTTTTGTTAAATATTTAGAGATTTTATCGCCAAATAGCGACAACTTACTGTACATACCAGTGTTGTGTATTACTCTTTAATACAGTACAATTAAGGGAGTTGATTGAAGATATGCGTTACGTAATTTGGGGGTTAGTATGTGTGACGGCATTACAGAATGGTGATACTTGAACCCCATAAATAATGCTATTTGTTATATCTGTTGTTACTATAAGTTTTTACTAAATTTTATTAAAATTTAATCAAATTTGACTTAATATTTTCACAAATTTGATTGAATTACAACGAAATATATTGATTTAGAGCGTCTTTTTTTTTGGTATCGTTTTACTGAATTGAATCGAAATCACGAGATGCATCGAGCAGGGGAGGGACAAGCATGTTAGCCAATTTCTCCCTGGATTTGATCGTTAACACTTAAGGCAAGAGGTTATCTCTTCGAAAGCAAACAATTGACATTACCCAAAAAGCTTGGTCCTTTGAAAAATCCTGGTGGCGCCTCTGGAAAATATAGAGGAAAAAGAAAAAAAACAAGGCCATCGAGTATTTAGAAACTAAATTGTTTTATCGAATAAATTGAAAATCTTTAGTATGAATTCTCATTCTTATAACAGTAAGAGAATAATAAAAGTTTGAATGGAGTAATATCAAATATGAAACGTGACTATATTGGATGCCATATCTTAAAAAAAAAATATTTGTTTTTCTTTAAATCTTGATAATATTTAATAGTTTTTAATTATTTAATTTTATATTTTCGGCTTTAAAAATATTATAAATGGCGAATGCGGAAACGTTTCCATTTTTTGAACCAATTATTTATTTGTCGATCGAATTCTAGGGGGCGTTTTCACTTTTATCTGTAATGGCTAATAATGAGTAAACATAAAAACATATTACTTAAGTAAACACTTAACATACAATGAATTTAAACTTTTTATAATAATAATTTGGGCTTATTACATAGATACGATCTTAATAATTTAAATTATAGGCTTTGGGTTTGCTGTATTATTTGCACGTGATTTTGAAGTGTTTGTTTATATGTCTGCCTGTCACGCTCTACATCTCTACTTACTCATCATAGAAAAATGCGGGTGGAAGCGCTCCCATTAATGTTTTTTAAAGATATTGTTTCCGTCCAATTATCGCCGCTTTATTATTGGTGTTTAAGTTATAATCTGTGAAGGTTATTTACGAAATCATTTAAACAAGTGTCGCGTTGATTTTGTACGCAAGAATCGCGTGTATTTATTATAAAACGTTAAAAATTTCTTTCCGACATATTCGCGTGAACAATTCTGTTTAAGCTCAAGTCGTTCTGGATCTCTTGTTTGGACGGCTTACGTCCGTCTTTTTATGAGGTTTATGTGATGATGATGGCTTAAAATTGTTTTTAAAAATTCCAATTCCACATTAAATAATATATATATTTAATGTACGGGGTTTCCAAAACGAGTGCTACCATTTTAAGTTATTGTAATCATATTAATTATTATTCTAGTACGTTGTAATGTACACTAAAACATTGGAAAACTGCCCGACTGTCACGCTTGCCCATTAGTTTTTCGTATGTACTGTACACCTCGTGTCACATGGCACACGTCCAAATTCTGATTGCACTCGTCACATCTCCCAGGTTTATTCGTGTTGACTTTGCAAAATACAAAATACCAAAAGCCTTCTGTATTGCGGAGTCGCCATTTTTCTTTATGGCGCTTCCTAGAGGTAATAGACAAGGCGTTCGAGCGCAGATGGAAGGTGAAACTCGGACAGTTACTCTATTGATTNAGAATGTATAGGGTCTCCTTTTTTATAATAAGGGTTTTTCATGATAAAGGGCACTTCCTAGAAGAATGTACGTAAATTAAATAATAATTAAATATCGTATGGGATATTACGTGAAATTTGACTTTGATTCGAAAATGGTATCGTCTGCTGCTGTTGTTTTCTGAGTTGCCATGGCGACGCTTCCTATTCCAGTGACCTAGAAAAAAGGGTTTATGTTTTGTTTCAAGGTCGGTTCAGACGCATTTACAATTTGTTCGTAATTCACTAATTATAAAATTATAAAGGATTGTATTTATGTATTGTTTATTAATGTTTCGGCAATGGCAGATGTCTAACTTCCGTCAACTGATTAATATTCATTTATAAATACTTTCATTTAATACCTTACATCTGCTGCTATGGTACATTCTACTCGTTGGATTTGGAAACGTAAGGTTCAGGTAATAATTACAATCTTTTCTGTTATTAGATATTTAGAAATCTTTAAGATTAATTTATGACTTTAGTAAGTCTTTGATGGAAACTAATTATGCTTGTGGCATTCTTATGGGAGTGATTTGGGTGTTGATCCCTCGAGGTTTCTAGAATTTAAACTAAAAAAATTTGCTTTAAACAATATATAAAATTTTCCTTAAACAATATCTAAAATATGTCTCAAATAACATTTAAAATATGCGTCAAACAACATCTAAAACATGTCTCAAACGACATCTAAAGCATGCCTCAAACAACATTTAGAGTATATCTCAAACAACATCTGAAATATGCCTCAAATAACATCTAGATTATGCCTCAAATAACATCTAAAACATGTCTGAAACAACATCTGAAATACGCCTCAAACAACATCTAAAATATGTCTCAAACAATATCGAAAATTTGTCTTAAACATCTAAAATACGCCTGAAACAACATCTAAAATTACATTTTATTAGTGATTAATTGAATATTAATCCATTATTTCATTTTTATTATTCAGTTATGTGGATTAAGGGATGCTGTAATTCTTTCTTTGTTATGTAACCTTACAGGTTTAAGAATTTCAATACTCTGTACTTTTTAGATCATCTTTTGGGAACATCTCTCAAGAGTAAAATCTTAGTCAATGGCAGATTACCCAATAAGCGCGCGTGTAGTGCGAAGGGCCTCAAAAGTTACGTAGCAAAAGGTAATAAATAGACCACTGAAAGTTTAGTGAACGTTTATAAAGTATACATTATAAAGAAAAAAACTTATTATTTAAGGATTTTATTGTCTTTTTAATATAAAAAACACTTTTAAGTTAAGGGCCTTATAACGAAATTGCGCCAAGACCTCGAAGGAACATAATTCGCTATGGATCTTAGTTACACCACCGGTTTATACAGTAATGTAATCAAATTTTATCGCATTGCTAACAATACAGATTAATATAAAGAATTGTTATAAGTATGTTAAATATACTTAAATGATTGCGTAACTTAGCGGTGCGCAAACTAAGGCCCGCGAACATACAGTCGCCCCCTATAACACTGTTGATTATTCCGTTTTATATGAATTCCATGTTGTACGAGTCACTTAGATTTTACAAATAAGTGAGCCGGGCACAGAACGGCACACGTATTT